TTGGAGCACCACTTAGGTCTAGTTCTAACGGATTAAATGGACACAAGCGTGAATTATACTGAGGATGTAGCAAGAGCTTATGCGATCACATACTTTACACATAGACAGGTGCACTCAATTCTCAGCTTTTTCAAAGGTTGTACAAAACCTACCTCAGACCACACCTTGAAGTGAACAATATCACTGCACCCTAACTGCTTAGAAGAGACGCTAACCTCTTGGAAACAATCCAAAGACGGGCGACAAAATGAGTGGTCGGTCTCCGAAATAAACCACATGATGAATGGCTAAAGAAATTAGGTCGTTTCACACTTAGCTGCTGTTGGTTTAGGGGGATTCGATTACTCCTTGCAAGATAAAAAATGCCCAGAGTCACCCAAATAAAGGTGTTCTGCCATTGAGTAGGTGTGGGCTTCCTCGTGGAAATCCCTGAAGAATAGCTAACCAAGAGGCATATACTCAGGTGCGCCCCCACTTCTTTTCACTGCGGGTTTGCCGTCCCTGGAACTCCTTACTGGCAGATGTAGCTGAAGCACTCTCTGTGGACAGCGTTAAGTGAAGTCTGAACAACCATGCAGCGACACAATGACTACGTCCACATGGCCTATCCTCTTAAAATCCTATACTACACTCATGAGTAGACAATTAAATTAGTCCTTTTAATTCTTTGCATTCTCTCCCATATTAATCTCCTGACTAATCCAACTACTACACTCAAACATATTAGTACTATCAATATTATATACATGTATTTATTTATATATGTATAAATGTTAACTTCAGATTTAATTGGCTGTCTGTTTTCACGTTTTCTTTATTTCTCTCCCTGGCTTTTAGTCTGAATAACCTACACTTATTATATCTGTTATTATTATCTCTTTTCCTTTGACGGCGATACCGGAGGACTAAATGGTGAAAGGATCAACTACATTCACAGTCGTGACAGGGCCTTAACACACCTCATACCACAAATCACACATAATTGACCCCTGCACTATCGCTTTCGGAGTAAACCATAGCTTCGACAGTCGAGTGGTGCGACGAACTACGCAGAAGTTTACCAGAGACCATGAATCTTTATCTCAAAATCAGAAATCGAGCATAAAGAAATATAGTTGGTTCATATTAGCCTGTAAGAATAATATTGGATATTGAATCCCAGTCATACCTTGGGATTTTAGTGGCGCAGTATTGAAAACAATGCGTTACTGACTAACTATGATGTGGTTTTGTTCTCTGAGCTGGATAGTTAGTTTGCGAAGCTTTCATCACCTTACTGGGTGACATCTTCAGCGCATACTTCAAATTGAAGTGAGCTTTTAGGTTTCTCCACGAGTTTATTAATCATTCCTCCTGGTGACCTTGGACGTGATTGGTTGTTTATGTATGTTTTCACACCTTCTAGGTTACTTGTGTTGGAACTGATTGTTTCTGTGACTTGAACTTTGGCCAATCGTGTGTGAAGTTTCTTTCTTATTGGTTGATAAATTTTGTCTATCTCGATGTGTCTATTGATTGATGATTCACTGGAATGCCAAGCTTCTAAAAATTCTCTAGCATTCTTGTTATTTCCTTTGTCTAATATTTGAACGTTGTCCCAGTCGAATTGATGTCCGTGGTTGTCTGTGTGTAGTGAAATGAGGGAGTGTATATCATGTCTTTTGACGGCTAGCTTATGTTCGTGGATACGAAGACGAAGGGGACGTCCACTTTGGCCAATGTAGTGTTTTTCACAGTTGTTACAGTTTATTTTGTAGATGATGTTGGTTTTGTCTTCTTTTGCTGTTGAGTCTTTTGGTTGACATAGAATTGAGTGCAGCGACTTTGTTGGTTTGTGTACGACGTCAATTCCTAAAGGTTTGAAGAGTCTTTTAGTGATTTCTGAGATATCCTTTATATATGGTAAGGCGATTTTCTTTGTGTTTTCCTTGGTGGCTTTTGTTTTGGTAGGTTGGCTTGGGGGTATATGTCTCTTGATGAAATTCCGGGGATATCCATTCTTTTGGAAGACGTCCATGAGATACTTTTCTTCAATTTTTCTTAAGGTGGGAGTGCTGCAGTGAGTCCTTGCTCTCTTGAATAGTGTTTGTATGCAGTTCCTTTTGTGTGCTATTGGGTTGTTGCTGTTGTAATTCAGTATTTGGTCTGTGTGAGTTGATTTCCTATAAACTTGAGTTTCTAATTCTCCTGTAGTTGTTCGCCTGACTAAGACGTCCAAAAATGGTATTTTGTTCTCGGATTCCTCTTCTCTTGTGAATTTGATGTCGTTGAAGACGTTGTTTATTAAGTTGTGAGTTTTGTCTAATTCGTTTCTTTTGATTATTACAAATGTGTCGTCGACGTAGCGTATCCAAATCTTGGGTTTGATCTTTGGTAGAATTATGTTTTCGAGTCTTTGCATCACTGCTTCTGCAATCAAACCTGATATTGGCGATCCCATGGGTGTTCCTTTGACTTGTTCATATATTTGGCCGTTGAATTGGAAGTATGTTGTTAGGCATAGATTTATGCATTCCATCCAGCTTGTGTGTTGCATTTTTGATTGTTGTGGAAGTTGTTCGTCGTTGCTAAGTAATTGCTCCATGGTTTCTTTTGCTAGTTTTTGTCCGATAGAGGTATATAATGCTGTCACGTCGAAGGATACCATTATTTCTTGTTCATCTATTTGGATGTCTCTGATTTTCTCTAGGAATTGGATAGCAGAGTTGATGGAGTGATCACAGGATTCCGTTAGGTGTTTTAGTTTTCTGTATAATTCCTTGGACAAATTATATGTTGGAGTTCCTGGGAGTGATACAATTGGTCGTAACGGGATATTTGCCTTGTGTATTTTGGGTCTGCCGTAGAATCGAGGTAGGACTGGTCCATTGGATTTCATTCGCCATTGGTCTTGTTTTGTGATCTGTCCAGTTTTGCTGAGCTTGTTTAAGGTCCTTTGGATGCGGTTGTCCAATGTTTGTATGGGATTTGTTGGGAGTTGTTGATATACATCTTCATCTTTGAGTAGTTCTTCAGCTTTCTTGGTGTATTCTTCTCTGTCCATGACTACTGTTGTTCTTCCTTTGTCGGCTGGTAAAATGACGATGTCCTTCCTATTTTTCAGCTTTTTGAGGGCCTTTAGTTCTTGAGAGTTGAGTTGTGTGTGTTGTCTTTTCTGTTTGACCATTGGTACAATTGTTTGGCGTATCTCTTCCTGTGTTTCCTCGTTCAAGTTTGATGATTTGAGTAATGATTCAAGGGCAGCGAAGAAATCAGTTTTTGAAGCATCTCCGGTGTTGTAGTTTAATCCTTTTTGTAGTAGTTGTTGTTCCATTTTTGATAGTGGTTGTTTTGATAGGTTGACTACGCAGTCTATGGGCGTATTGTCTGGTTGTTGTTTTCTAATCTTGGCTAGCTTGGTTTTGAGGACTCTTCGTCTTTGTTCTCTGTGTTTTCCACTTGACAGTGAAATAGGAAGAGATACGCCAAACAATTGTACCAATGGTCAAACAGAAAAGACAACACACACAACTCAACTCTCAAGAACTAAAGGCCCTCAAAAAGCTGAAAAATAGGAAGGACATCGTCATTTTACCAGCCGACAAAGGAAGAACAACAGTAGTCATGGACAGAGAAGAATACACCAAGAAAGCTGAAGAACTACTCAAAGATGAAGATGTATATCAACAACTCCCAACAAATCCCATACAAACATTGGACAACCGCATCCAAAGGACCTTAAACAAGCTCAGCAAAACTGGACAGATCACAAAACAAGACCAATGGCGAATGAAATCCAATGGACCAGTCCTACCTCGATTCTACGGCAGACCCAAAATACACAAGGCAAATATCCCGTTACGACCAATTGTATCACTCCCAGGAACTCCAACATATAATTTGTCCAAGGAATTATACAGAAAACTAAAACACCTAACGGAATCCTGTGATCACTCCATCAACTCTGCTATCCAATTCCTAGAGAAAATCAGAGACATCCAAATAGATGAACAAGAAATAATGGTATCCTTCGACGTGACAGCATTATATACCTCTATCGGACAAAAACTAGCAAAAGAAACCATGGAGCAATTACTTAGCAACGACGAACAACTTCCACAACAATCAAAAATGCAACACACAAGCTGGATGGAATGCATAAATCTATGCCTAACAACATACTTCCAATTCAACGGCCAAATATATGAACAAGTCAAAGGAACACCCATGGGATCGCCAATATCAGGTTTGATTGCAGAAGCAGTGATGCAAAGACTCGAAAACATAATTCTACCAAAGATCAAACCCAAGATTTGGATACGCTACGTCGACGACACATTTGTAATAATCAAAAGAAACGAATTAGACAAAACTCACAACTTAATAAACAACGTCTTCAACGACATCAAATTCACAAGAGAAGAGGAATCCGAGAACAAAATACCATTTTTGGACGTCTTAGTCAGGCGAACAACTACAGGAGAATTAGAAACTCAAGTTTATAGGAAATCAACTCACACAGACCAAATACTGAATTACAACAGCAACAACCCAATAGCACACAAAAGGAACTGCATACAAACACTATTCAAGAGAGCAAGGACTCACTGCAGCACTCCCACCTTAAGAAAAATTGAAGAAAAGTATCTCATGGACGTCTTCCAAAAGAATGGATATCCCCGGAATTTCATCAAGAGACATATACCCCCAAGCCAACCTACCAAAACAAAAGCCACCAAGGAAAACACAAAGAAAATCGCCTTACCATATATAAAGGATATCTCAGAAATCACTAAAAGACTCTTCAAACCTTTAGGAATTGACGTCGTACACAAACCAACAAAGTCGCTGCACTCAATTCTATGTCAACCAAAAGACTCAACAGCAAAAGAAGACAAAACCAACATCATCTACAAAATAAACTGTAACAACTGTGAAAAACACTACATTGGCCAAAGTGGACGTCCCCTTCGTCTTCGTATCCACGAACATAAGCTAGCCGTCAAAAGACATGATATACACTCCCTCATTTCACTACACACAGACAACCACGGACATCAATTCGACTGGGACAACGTTCAAATATTAGACAAAGGAAATAACAAGAATGCTAGAGAATTTTTAGAAGCTTGGCATTCCAGTGAATCATCAATCAATAGACACATCGAGATAGACAAAATTTATCAACCAATAAGAAAGAAACTTCACACACGATTGGCCAAAGTTCAAGTCACAGAAACAATCAGTTCCAACACAAGTAACCTAGAAGGTGTGAAAACATACATAAACAACCAATCACGTCCAAGGTCACCAGGAGGAATGATTAATAAACTCGTGGAGAAACCTAAAAGCTCACTTCAATTTGAAGTATGCGCTGAAGATGTCACCCAGTAAGGTGATGAAAGCTTCGCAAACTAACTATCCAGCTCAGAGAACAAAACCACATCAAAATTATCCACCTGAGCTACAAATCTTCTCTATCATGACTAACTATGTGATGTGACGAAAACAAATGTTAGTGTAAACTCACTGGAGCAAGAAGAGTATCGTTTAGCCGAACTTTTTCTAACTGATGATAAGTGACTTGTACCCGCACGCTTTAAAAAATCTTGCTTAATCACAATACACGTCTTTCAAGGCACTCCGCCTTCTTCCTTCTCCGTCTGTGCATGATTGTCTGTTACAATTGGTGTCGGAGGTGGGATGTTCTGCAGTCAACATGGAAACATCATCAGATTATGGCCTCCCCAAGCTGTTCCCAGAAGAAAGTAAAGTCACCACGCTCGACCATACCCTATAGGGCATACTAAAATTCTTCAGTCGTAGACAACTACCCGGGGAAAGTCCCCTAGAATACTTCCATGCCCTACAACTAATGGCATCTGGCGTAGACGATAGCGCAGACTCCAACCACAGAGACCACCTGATGAGGGCACGTTTCATCGAAGGGGTCTTGCCCGGCGACCTCCGGACGCACCTACTGCGACACCGGAAGTTGAGAAGATAAATGGATCTCTCCGTATGTGCATCGACTATTGCAATATGAGATCGAAGCAGTTGTCAAGAATTTGCCAGTTTTCAGTCATGGATTTTGTTCTGCTGAACCCGGCAGCATCGGCACGTGCGAAGTCATCCTCGGATAGGGCATTGAGAACATGGAGAAAGTGGTGGGCTAGTGAAGAGATGCTGAGGAATGCCTGAATACGTTTCTTCCATCGGGGGTAGTCTGATGACAGTTGCAGCGCTGGAGGTCACAGTAGGCGTGGTGATTTCACTTTCTTCTGGGAACAGCTTGGGGAGGCCATAATCTGATGATGTTTCCATGTTGACTGCAGAACATCCCACCTCCGTCACCAATTGTAACAGACAATCATGCACAGACGGAGAAGGAAAAAGGCGGAGTGCCTTGAAAGACGTGTATTGTGATTAAGCAAGATTTTTTAAAGCGTGAGGGTACAAGTCACTTATCATCAGTTAGAAAAAGTTCGGCTAAACGATCCTCTTCTTGCTCCAGTGAGTTTACACTAGCATTTGTTTCTGCAAAAGAAAAACTTATTTAGTGGTATTATACTCCTTTTTGTCCCATTACAACATTGTCATTTTTGTGTTGGTTTGGATCTGTAGATTGGTTTCCTGTCTGTCTTTACAGTTACTAGTATTATTATATGGTATCCCAAATGTTACGTATATTATGTGTGATATCGTTCTATGTGTAGATGTGTCATATATCAGCAAAATCGGAATACGATCTGAACCACACTGTCTATAACTTTTCGGAGACAAGCAGACTAGTCCGGTACGTTATAAGTGTCGCAACTCAAAAAAATTTACCAAATGTTATTGTACAATCGTTCAGAATAGCCTCGTGGTAACAATACTTTTATACATGCATGTATAATTAAAGACGAATAAATAAATAAAAATTTATTTAATCAGCTTAACATAAGCCATAGAATTAACCTTCATGTTATCGCTAGCTTTTCCACTAAAACTAACCGTAATTAATGCATAACTCTAGCCTGATCCCAAACCCAAATGCTAAACATAACTTTAAGTGAAATAAACCAGGATAAATCCGCTGGTTATCTCGTATATAGGGTGAATAAACATGATGCAGAATGTGGAGTTATCGTACTGCTTGTGAAGAGTTACTTGTTTGGGTGGAATAGTCTGTTTAAGTACCGATTCGCGGATTGTTATCTGTATACATGGAAGATTTAAGGCACGAAAAGTGAAATATCAATTCACCCAATTATGCGTTTATATTTACTGGAATTTTGTGATGTATCACTAGAACTGGGGTCGCATATGCTGGTATTAGGAATGAAAGTTTTCGTTGAGAAAACATTGGGTGGCACAAATACCTGTACTAGATGTCGATAATCCTGTTTCATTGTCTAAATTTGTTCTCGTACTTGTATGATTAAGTATATGTTTTACCTTTTCAGTGCCTTCCGATGTTTCAGATACTATGTTAATTGACCTTGTTTGATGGTGATAAACATCATTTGTTCGAAACTTAAAGTTACTTACTTGCGATAGAGTAAAGACTATGGAGGAGGAGTTTACTGCCACCATGAAAAAGTATGAAACTGTCTTGGAATGCGTAGATCAGAAACTCGCATCGATAATTGCTGCTGATCGATTTCTTAATGATCTTATTCCAAAGTCAAAAGAGCTAGAAAATGACGTCTTACACCTACCATCAAACAAAGATGTTATGAACACTATCGAAATTCATTTTGGACGTGTAAGTTCAACTGTTGTTGCAATTTAATTGTTTTTTCTGGTTATTACTGAAATTAAAAAATATCTCCTTACGGGTATGTTTGTCTAAGATCGAAATTAGATGCGGATCTGCATCTAATACTCGAATATTCAATCCCCAGCACATTAGATTCTTCGATTTATTTTTAAGACAGAAATTTCATTGTCTTCTGTGTAATACTTAAGTCAGTGTTTTTTTAGGGACAGTATTACTTGAAGTAGTCATCTAAGTAGAAATTGTTTGATTGCTTTTGTGTTTTAAATAACCTCGTGTCATCACTCATGTGAGTGATGTAATACTCCCAGCTAGCATTTTTTTTCGGGCGCACTGCAAATTTTTAGTGGCAAAAAACTTCAGGCGCATAGACGTACGTGGGACGATGCCCCTGAGCCTGCTCCAACCAATCCGCAATGCGCCCGAAATTATTGCTAGCTGATTGAAATTTTCACTGCCTTGTAAGTGTAATCTAAAACTTATCGCTAACTAAAAGGCTTACTGATAACATTAAAAGATACAAGTTCAAATCTCAGACAACTGGTTGACAGAAAAAGCAGCAAAGACAAAACTTCAAGTGTACATAGAAAAGAAGACAAAGTTAATGCAGATAACTAACTAACAACAACAATAGTCAGTCGAAAAGAGGTAACATCTCTGACTTAACAAGGCAACATCATTTCAATTGGTGGCGCCACGGATTAAGACATCAAAGCCAGGATCTTAAAAGCAATACAGCTCTTGATTACTTTAAAATCAGTGTGGAAATATACTGCACTCAGCATACGGAAGATTCATATTTTCAACACTAAATATTAACTTCGTTCTTCGATATGGTTCGGAGACTTGGCGTGTCATCAACGGCTTTGTGCAGACTTTCCTCAACAGCTGCCCCCTACTCGAAGTTAAAGATCAAATGGTCAACCATAAGGGATGAGCAACTATGAACTCTAGCAACGAATTAACCAAGAACCTTTTACTCGAGAAGTTTGCTGAAGGAAATGGAGATGGATTGGACAGACACTAACGAGATTGTTGTGTGATATCACGCGCCATACAAGCTGTTGAGTGGGAAGCGACGAGCTGTACTCCGAAGAGTGACATAGAGGAGATCGTGTGAGTAGTGAGACCTTATGGGCAACCGTGAGAACCAACTAAGAAAGACTGTAGAAAACAGTATGAAATGTCAATATGCTAATGAAGCCTTGTTTCACTCGGAACTCAGGGGAATAATAATAGTCAGCCTTATCACCAATTTTGTGTTGACGCTGCGGGATGTATTGATATAATAATTTTCAACCACTTACTCTTAACATCACTTTAATTGCATTCGAAAAGTTTGACGTTTTGACAGGTATTCAAAAACTTCGTTGTTGAATAACTTTCCATCTGGCACCCTTAGTTGTCTTTCACGTCAGCTTGAATTTGGTTTATATCACTCTAAGTTAGACACTGACTAACTGCATTATAAATAAGATTTTATTCTGATAAATCAAACAGTATTGTACAGTAATATTAACTGATGACGTTTCAAACTCAAATTATTGCTCATAATTATGCCAAGTCACTCACACAACTCGAAACGTCATCAGTTAATATTACTGTACAACACTTTGATTTATCAGAATAAAATCTTATCTATAATGGAGTTATACTCTACCACAGTGCCGAAGTTTTATACTTATGTCAGAAACTGACTGAACTGACGGGTTTCAAGGTAGAACTTTGCGCCAATGCTCAGCAGTTCGAGTTACCACACTTCACTTAGCACACAAAGCAAGAGAAGAGAGTAAGGAGAGATTCAAAATAAAGATACGAGAAGAAAAATGGGGTTTTATTGGATATTTTAAGTCACAAAGAGTGGATGCATCTGTGCCAGCCATTGCGCCGTCTCTGGCGTTGACGTGATATCCGGCCAAAGGGCGGGTGTACTGCTCATCAGTCCACTCCGTCCTCCTTTATGGATGCGAAACCTGGCCATTGATAGTGGAAGACATGAAAAGATCAGCTGTCTTTGATCACAGGTGCCTGCGTTCTATCTCCCGTGTGAAGCGGGATAATAAGGTGAGCAATATTGAGGTTAGGCGTCAGTCGAGTGCTAGGTAGGTAAGGAGGGGAAATCAATCGACGAGGCTGTGAAGTTACACCGATTAAGATGGTTAGGACATGTGTTACGCATGCATGTCTAGTCATCGGCTTCCTCGACGGGCAATGTTAGTTGACATAGGGTCAGGATGCAAAAGAGCTACTGGCGGTCAAACCAAAACATGGCACCAGTCAATGAAATCCACAGCAGTTAATTTAAGTCACGTAGGGAGGTGTAGACTTCCTGGTTGGGGTCCTCGGGACGGTAAAAACCAGTGGTTGGAAACAATTGGTGATATGGCTCAAAATCGTTCTCCGTGGCCCAGATACATCTTTTCCTTGTGACTTATGATTTCCAATGAAACTATATTGTTCTTCGTTATTACTATTCCTTTGTCTCACACCTCTGTTTACTGTCTCTAATATGCATTTCTTCTACTTTCTTCTCTTGCTTTGTGTGCTACAAGGAGGGAGTGTGGCGACTTGAACTGGTGCACATCGGTGCAAAGTTCTATGTCGAAAACAGACAGACCGACGTATACAACTGCTTTATTACCAATGAATTAAATTACTATTGGTCCATATAACTTAACTGATGTTGTAAACTAACTCACGTCCATCACTACACCCTTATTAAAGTTAAACAGGAATACTTTTATTTTGATTTGACACTAGTAACTAGTGTGATATGTCTAGTCCTCTCTTTGGTGCCAAACAAAAACATGGCCTCATCAATCCATGAAATCCTCCTTGACAGTTAAACTGAGTCGGTCAGGTAGGGAGATGCAGACTTCCGGGTTGGGGCCCTCGGGACTCTAGGAATCAATGGCTGGAGACAATAGGTGACATGGCTCAAAATCGTTGTCAATGGCCAGCGCAGATGTATTCAGTCTCTGTAATCTTTCATATTCCTTTCTACCATTACCCATTCTGTTTCACTCATACTTGTCAGACTGTATTGATTCTCTTCACTCATCTTCTTGTCTACCTCTGTGTGGTATTTGGAACGTGGCAACTCGAACTGCTGCACTTGGGTGCCAAGTTCTATGTTGAATCCAGACAGACAGACAGAAACACTAACCACAGACTTCCAAATTCGGGTGCTTTGTTGGATTTTGATTTGAAGACATTCTCCATTTTTGTGTGAGGGATTCATCCAACCGTAGGCTGAATATTGAATAATTAAAGTGTGACCAAATACCTGTTGAACTGTAGTGTTTCAAAACTTCAGTCAGTTATCATCAAAGACCTACTAAAAGGCGATCTTGCCTTGAAATAGCTTCAGTAATCATCCAAAATTGTTGAACTAGTACTCTTTTCCTATGTGCGTCGGTGGCACAGTGGTTAGGACTCTCGCCGACCATGCACATGGTCCGGGGTTCGAGCCCACGCCGACGCACACCTGATATCTATGGTTGGCCTGCGAATTTTGGGCTACCGATATCCACGCTGAAAATTCCACACTTGTACTAAAAATACGGTGTGGAATCAAGCTGTAACCAAAAATAAAAATAAAAAATAAATTTCTCCACCACATAACCTTTATTGCTGTCGGTTATACGTAAACTCACAGTCAGTGGACATCTAAGCTTCATATTGTTATCACTATGGTTATAGTTTTGCACGGAATAACCTTAGTTGGTCAATTTGCATAAAGCTACGAGAATCTCAAACTCTTGGATTTGATTTACTACCTGCATCACTCTTTATTATCTCCCAGTTAATCAGGACAAGAATTCATTTACTCATATGACTGTGGGAACATTTGTTGTTTTGTTTTGTCAAGGAAATTGACTATTTCTAGGCAAAATATTTATGTCAGTGAGTGAGTAATTGAGCGGAAATTGTTATCAAGCATTGGTAGTTTTTTTTTTTAATTTTCGCTCATCTAGGAAGTTTAACAGGTAACTCTCACCTCGTATCCGAACATATACTACACTTTTCTCTTTACGACATAGTTTCTTCTACAAGCCAAAAAGATTTTGGTTCTAGCCATTCATTTTTTTCGCAGGGCAAATTGTACTGCTTCACTATCTTGAACAGTTTTTAATTTGACCTCGAGTACTTTTTGACAACTAAGTCGAATCAGATGCGTAGTTGTGCAAATCAAATGTTTGCAGTGTTTATTAGTGATAAAGCCCTGGCTCATCCAAATATTTTACATTTAGTAAGCATTACCCACATATCTGCAAATTTCATGAACTATTAAGTGGAACTGACTTGTTGAGTTAACGTCGCGCAATTCCTAAACACTAATTCGTTGTAATTTCTATTACATTCACCATAGTTATATAAGTTATTTAGCTTTTTTAAACATTATTTTGAGTTGTCATGCATACCTTATCACTTGTTTGAAAATATTTTAATATAAAGAATTTTCTAGTTTAGAAATATGTTTTGTTTTCTTCGCTGAGTTAACTGTCGGTGAATTTTGGTAATTTAAATGCAGCGGAATGATAATAAGATACGTTCTGTATTCAAAGAAGTATTCCAAATGTTTTGGTTTTACTCTAAATTATGTTACCACTTATTATCATTATTTTGTCTCACAATAGGACTTGTTATTGTCATATCTTTTATCCCTCATAATTCCAGTTAGTTTCAGGTTTGGTTACGAGCTGATATCGGTTAGAGAATCATTGAAAAACTAGGGAGTACTGGATAACTGTTTCGTCCTAGTGCGGGACGCTTCATCAATATGCACCTACGGGCTGTCAAACAAAGGAACTTCTCGTTGCAAAGCTAGCTCGTAGACCATTCAACCAAAAAGACTTGACATAATGGCCTATGAACTCCTCTGTCTACCACTTTCTATTAGAACATAAGGTACCTTCCTGTATTAGGCCGGCTGCTAGTGACCATGAGATTAATTAACAAGTATTGGTTTGTAGGGATTCCATCGGTTACAGTTAGAGAACCGTTGAAAAACTAGTTAGTTTTTTAACACCTGAAGCTTCGAACAGTATTGACGTTTTGATATTATAAGTAACTTAAATGTCAACGACTTGAGTAACATACTGAAAGTTACATTTCCGTTTAAGCCTTATTGTCGAAAAACCTATCAGGATACTATTTGTTTATCCTTATTTTATTTTTTTATGCTCAAAAAACTTATTTACTGTCTATAAATTTGAAAGCAAATTTTTATTATAACTCGAACTGTATGTTGATTGTTGTTTTACTTACAGGCTATGCGCTTAACTCTACTACGAGGGGATGGTGTAAGATTGCCTTTAGTAGTTCCTGTCGATGCTCGCGTTTTAGAATTACGTTGGGCAGTGCAAGAAGCCATTTCATCTTATATGAATCATATATCAAATTTACCAGAAGCAAATCATAAAGGTGGTTTTACTGATAATACCTCTTCACAAAGGCGTATTTCTGCTAAATCTATCAGCTGGCGAAGTATTTGGAAAACAAAATGTTTAGCTGTTGTAAACCCAAATGGTGTATTTCCTCCTGAAGGTCTTCCAACTATCACTGCTAGACTGGATGTATTAACCAACAAATTGTCGGAGCACTACCAAATTCGTAATGGAGCAATTATTACCTTTGCTCCTCGACTTCATCGGAAATGAATATTTGTGTGTATGACTTCAGATATCAAGGACATATTTTTCCTTTTGTCTTTTATGTATATAAAATATAGTTTTGGTGAAAAGTTGTTATTTATCTAATTTACAGTAACATGAAAACGTGAGTAGGAGGGATGAGATATTGACAAATTATCAAAGAAGCAATCTAATAGATAGATTTAAGAACTTTCACTTACAAATGGTAGACGACCGCGTACACCAACAGCATATATATACTGTTGATTTTGTGGCATTCAGCTATATTTCTAAACATTTTCACCTAATGAGAGTAGGGCGAACGTCTTAAGTCCCTTACAGAGTCATAACTTATCCATATTCTTCTAACTCGCTTACAACTATTCTTTAGACTAAAAGTATATATATGTGAAGATATCAGATCATTTATCCTGGATAAATTAGGTTATATAGGTGGGGACAATATAACGTTCCACATAAGACGCTCTCTCAGTATATAGCTCAATCGTATTATATCTCGTATTGTATTCGTTATAAATAACCACATTAAGGTCTTGATGAGTTCGTCTACTTTTCGTTCATATAACAGGATAAATTATTTCAAAGAATCGATTTCTATTGAAATATATAAGAAACTACCTGAAGATTCAGCAATACAAGATTTAAATGACCTTTTGGTAACCGAATCTCGATTCATCTTAAATAGTCAATATCCCAATAAGAAAATATTTTCTTCTGGACATCTTGGGCTAACTACTAAGACTCTTATTTTGTATATCTACAATAATAGCTTAAAAGCTTAGATATTGGGCCCATGAGTTGACTTTATATATGTATGAGTTTTTGGCTTGTTGATAGTAATAATAGTACATAAGCTATATTCGGGAAGACGCTTTCTTTCTTCTTTTTTCCTTGAGTAGTTGTTGTGTTTACAAAATTTATTTTTCGTGAACTGCTTACTGATAACTAACTCGTTATTACCTGTTTAAAGCTGTAGGTTGACGGTACTTATAATCCCTTGCGTTTGAATGAATGACTTCTAACAGCGTTAGCCCATCTGTAGGTTATTTTTCTGATTTCTGCTTTATCAATATATATTTTGCGTTTTTGAAAGAATATCTTGCTCAAACTACTAATCTAGTGCTTTCTATTGATACGAGGTGTTGTTTTCGACAAAGTAAGTTGAATAGTGATAAATTATGAGTCAGTTTTTATTCACGAGTTCTGTAAACCAGACATTCGACCCCAATCTAGACTAAAGGTCGTATCATCAGTGGATTTTCATCGGTACACGCTAACCAGTTAGCAAAATAGTTTCTATGTTTTAAACCTGATAATTTATCGGTCACGTGAAATAAGTAAACTGTAGTAATTGTTTAGTGCTATAAGTTATGACGTAATCTTTTTTTATAAACATAGTAGACAATACATTTCATCAACTTTACCATTACTGATACTGCTGTTTTAATGTTCATAGTAGAGTATGAAAAATGCACCATAGATGTTTAGTTACAATAAATAATTGAAATTGAATCATCTTATTTCTATGATGGTTGTTACATCTCAGTGAGAAGTTGGATAAGAGTACTGATTAGAACACTTTTTTGAGATGTCATCCTTCTTCGGCTATTGGTTTAAAACAAACACTTTTTTTCAAAAGAATGGATACTGAGCAAAGAGTACTCTTTTCGATAACTTCGTCATCAGGCTCTACAGTTATACATACATTACATTGAATGAATTAGTGTTATGAACAACATTAATGTTGTTTAAATAACATCGAATCAATAATTCGAATAGATTAGAGCTCAATAGCATCAACATATCAGTGCACTGAATATCAGAAAAATTAGGAAAGATAATATTACAAATTCATGAATTTATAGTCTCTACAGAAGGCCAGGGCAGGACTTGCCTCTGTTGAACACAGAGCACTGGTTGTTTGAGGCGAATCGCAATGGGCTCTGCTGTTTGGAGCATGCGGTGCTTCGATGATTTCAGCAATTTATTAGGCACCCCATAGATTATAGAGAGGGATTCTTCCACGCTGGCTGGCTTTGTGGCTGCTTAGCACCAGATGATCCAATATCGAGCTGTTAGTGGTTTCAACTACACCTTTACTTAGCCATAGTGGGGTATGTTCTCGAGCACGAAGGTTCAAGTTCCTAGAACAACGGCCAAGCAAGTCCAGTCCCTACTACTGCCCTGGCCGGCCTTCAGTAGGGACTAAAAATTCATGAATATGTAATATTATCTTTCCTAAGTTTACTGACATTCAGCTTATTTTATGTCGGTGCTATTGAGCTGTAATCTATCAATATTATTGATTCGATGTTATTTAAACAGCATTAATGTTGTTCAAAACACGCTTTTATTTGTGAATTTTGTAAATTGTATTGGAGTGGGACAACTACTAACTACCATATAATATAACAGTAAAACATTGTATTTTTGTGAGATAAATATTATATTTGAGAATTGAATTAGCAATAATAGAGTTATTTGATAAAACCAATTTTACAAATCTAAACAAGCATAATTATAATTTCTTTAAAAAAAATGAAAAAACAATGTGTAGAAGAGAGAGTTTATTAAACTCTACCTTTTACTTTGTCTTAGTTTATCAAATTCAGTCAGACCGACTAACCACATTTCATGCCATGGCTATCCTTGATTACCTCTTGATGCCATTGATTAAATGCTTCAGTTAAATAGGCTACTGATCGATATGTTGAAGATTCAAAGGATTTATCATTATTCGTTGGATAGGAATTGTTTCTACGCCAATAAAGACGATATGCGCGTATTATGCGTAACTGAAATTTTCGAAATAAAAAAACTGTTGTTGTATAATACTGACAGATTTCTTATCTTTCGGATACTTTTCAACTAATTTATTATCTAGTTACAGGACATTGGTTAGAGAACCTGGGAATACTGGACAGCTGTTTCGTCCTAGTTTGGGACTCTTCAGATGTATGCACCCCCACCACGGTTCGAACCCAGGATTTTCTGGTTACAAGACTAGCGCGCTCGTAGACTATTAAGCCACTGGAACCCAATCCAATGGCCAGCCCATGAATTCTAACTTCTGCCAATTCACGATAATTTATTATCGCAGGACAATAATTAACTGGTAGCAAGTGATGTTAGTGGTGCATCAGTCGTTCATCGGTAGAATAACTGTCAACCACGCATATGGTCCGGGTGTTCGGTCCTCGACCGAGAGCATACCTAAACCTTGCTAAGCCGGTAGTAATCCCGGCTAGCAACCCACAGTGTAAAAATAAAACCATTGCTACCGAAAGTTCAAATCTCCAGCTTGATCTTGTATAACGTTAACGGTAACATCAATTCATTACAATAATAGTAGGTGGGATGAACCTTCTTTAATTAACATCATTCAAAACTCAGTCAGTTTCCCTACACTAGTGGATAACATCGCCTCCTGTCTATCATATTAACAAATTAGTTCATTCTTGATTGCTCTATAGCAAAACATTATGAAAGTAGTCAATACAAGTCAGATGGTGTTAATTTAGTGTTTTTTGTTTCTGTTCATCTATAAGACGACCAAACCACTCAATTTCTCAATAAGTATATACAACTGTTTAGTCACATATCGTACTACTCATTATGGGCTTGTAAAATATTTCCATATTAGTTTGTTTATAAAATGTATCACACAGTGATGAAAAAGTATTGTATACTGGATGACGTTTCGAACACAATTTATTGTTCATAATCATGTTTATGAACAATAAATTGTGTTCGAAATGTCATCAAGTATACAATACTGTTTCATCACTGTGTGATACATTTAATAAACAAACTAATATGGAATTACTTACTACCACAGTGCCCAAGTTTTACACATATATTGTACAATATTTGTTTCTTTCCTTTATTATTGTGAGAAAATTCTGTTTTTATTCCGTCTCCTTAAGGGAAATCGAAACGGGATGATTACAATTAGCAGAATATCAAACTTGGCAGCTATTATGATGTTAAGTGGATACTTATCTGTAACTGATTTATACTTGAGAGATATGCTCAAGCTGTTCTGAATACAGGGGACCGAAAAGGCTGGTTATCAGCTGAATCACGTCAAACCAAAACATGGCACCAGTCAATGAAATCTACAACAGTTAGTTTAAGCCAAGTAGGAAGGTGTAGACAGGCTTCCTGGTTGGTGTCCTCAGGACGGCAAAAACCAATGGTTGAAAATAATTGGTGACATGGCTCAAAATCGTTCTCAATGGCTAGCGCAGATGCATCCACTTCTTGTGGCTTATGATTTCCAATGAAACTATTTTGTTCTTCATTATTACTATTCCTTTGTCTCACATCTCTGTTTACTGTCTCTATTATGCATTTCTTCTGTTGCTTTGTGTACTATATGGCGACTTGAACTGGTGCACATCGGTGCAAAGTTCTATGTTGAAAAAAGACAGACGTAGCTCAGCTGGTAAAATTTCTCGTTAGTAATTCGTGAACTTCTGATTCGAGTCCTTCAACAATCTAAATTTCTATTTCAGCAATAGCAATCTCCTCAAATAGTCTCACCACTGTCATTACTAACTGTGTAGCATAGAAAGCAGTGTTTTAAATAGAATAGATTAAGATTAGTCTGATTACATGAAAATCTTCAGCAGTTCAAATGGAACCCTTTAGACATTTTGCGCACTGCCTATTGGTATTGAGAGGACACGATCGGTTTCAACAACAACATACTGGTTTTAATCAAATGGACAAAATATTTACTTGGTTGCTGCTGTAAGTACTTTTCATCAACAACAAGATGTGCAGAATATGTTTACTAAATAGTTTAGACTGCAATAACACAGCTCTGACAGCATAGCCAACTAGTGTCACATGCAAAATGCAGTTTCTGAGTCTAATACTAAACAGAAAGAATAGTAATGACAGCCTACTGCTTGTGTAGTCTTCATTATATAAACACACGTTTGCTGATAAACAGTACTTACTAAATGTTTAACACTTACGGGTTCACTGTAGGTAAACGTACTCCCAGAACGCGTATAAAAGTAGAATTTCGGTGATTCAGATGTACTATTTGAGGTGAATCGAGATTCAGTCACCAAA